GGAGCCTACGAACGCGACTTTCAGTCCAGTACATTGCACTTTATTACTATAACCACGCGACGTCCGATCATACCTTTAGTAGTTCAGTCCGGTTACAATCCGTCAGAATGGATGTTGACAAAGTCACTTTCAGTACCCTACAAAGATATTACTACTAACTTCATGCGGAACATGGGACACGTAAGCTCGATAATACATCAAAATAACACCAATAATCAATTCAGAACTCAACCAGAAATGTCAAAAGCCCTCATGAAAACACGAGCGGCAGCCTTTCCGTCGCCAGAATATAGACCTGCAACTCCTCGATTTACGAAGCCTCAAAAATACGACATAATGATTAGTTATTCGCACCACGATAGAGACTTATGTTTCAGAATCTATAATCGCTTGCTGGAACATAAGTTTCGTATTTGGATCGACAAGGAAAACATGCACGGACTACAGACTAATGCTATGGCTGATGCTATTGAAGCATCAGCATTTGTTATTATTTGCATGTCAGACGATTACTTCAACAGCGAGTACTGTGAACAAGAAGCAAAATATGCGAAGCGATGTAAACGTAAATTGATTCCATTGATAATGACAAAGGACTTTCATCCGTCAGGTTGGTTAGGATTTCTAACTGTTGATTTGAAATACATTAACTTTTCAAAGTATGAATTTGATAAAGCCGTCGGTATGTTACTCGATGAAATCGAAATGTACAGACAATGGATGATAGAGAAATGGTTCAAAGCAGAATAGAGCCTACTGATACAAAAAACCGCGACTTTTGTAATAGCTTTTTGTATGCGTTCCAACACTTATTAAAACTCCAACAGAAAGAGACACTAAGTCACTGGGTGCCAGAATCTTAGTCGGATCATTGCCATCATGATCAGCCATCCTAAATGGTATTCACGACTCAGCTGCAGATGACCACTCGGCCCAGGTAAACGTCTAGCCGAATTGAGTAATAAGTTGTTTGTTGTTGCTAAAGTCAATTCAATGTTAGATTCATTAAAGAAGAGATTCTCTATCATCGCTAAACGACTTTATCGGTGTTTAGTTAGTTTTGGCAACAAATTGTGCATAAGAACAAAATGTTGAATTATTCCAGCTCGTTTTTCAAGGCAAACTGTCCTTGAAATCTCCTAATACTATCCAAGCGACTCGTTTCAGGTGCCATGAGAAAGAGCATACTTGAAAATAGCGAGAAATGTGCACTACCGTAATTCGGCACTTTATTAGTCAGAGGGAGAAAAAAAATTAATATTTTGAAAACGTGCGTTTGAAAACAAGCCTTTTCGGAGGATACCAGTGTTCAACAGATGCAGTTTCACGATTTCCTTTTGTGACCCTTTTCACACATTTTTCTACAGAATTGAATGAGGAATCTTTTTCAAAAAAGGCGAGGTCTGACGAGGGAACCTCCCGAGGTGATAAATCGCTTTTTGATCGACATCTAGTGGGTTATAGGTTATCCACCATGCTGATTCCGAATAT